GCACTATTTGTGGGTTAGCGGAGTCTGTAACCTGAAGCGTATGTAACCTGAAGCGTATGTAAGCCAAGGTACCACTGTATCCATTTTGTCCTAAGCATGCTTACTATAAAGCAAATCTCGGCCCAATCTTATGCATGTTTACCTCAAAGTGAATCTCATTGTGTTAAATGACACTTGTTCATCAATGTGTGCTGCACACATTCAAAGACAAAGTGTCACTCCATCCTCATTTGGCTTTCAGCAAGGTCTGCCGAGCTGCCTAATGAAAATGAAAAAATTCACCGTGGAAAAAGCCAATCAGCATTTTAGTCTCCAATCAGACTTAGAACATACAAATGAGCTTCATTTTGAAAGGACAATGAACAAAAGTGGTGCATACTGATAGCTGAATTAAATTTCAAGGCAACCTGTATTTAAGACAATAAACCTGCTCAAGCTCACCTCGGACCGACCGAGGCTGCAATCAGATAGCACTTTATTCCATTTTCCTTATATTTCCTGGCTTTATGGACATATTCCTCCATCCCTAGGTTAGCTGCATGCCTGCATCCGCTCCTGATCCTAGGAGACAGGAAAATCTTTGCCTCTCCCAATGAGCTTCCTCTACAGATGGTGCCTTCTAGAGCACTGAGCAGATGAATCGGCTTCAGGGAAGTGATTCAACAGAATAGGCCCCTAGCTTCTGCCATATGCCAGAGGATCTGTCCAACTTTCTATAAATGTACAGTATACCTCTGACAGCGAGGTTTATGTTGACTGTGAAATTTGCTGTCAAAATATGTTGCTGGCAGAGAATGATTTAGGGAGGAGTGAATTGTTTGGCATGATTACAACATGTATAACATGCACCTGAGAGTTACCCGGGTTCCACCATAACCAGCAGCCTCTCCATTGATGCTGAGCTGGACAAGCATTTTGGCAAGGCAGCTAGAGCAATGGTTTGCTTCTCCAAAGGTTATGGGGGAGTATGTGATGCTAACATCCAATTCCAATATGAAGGTCTACCTGGTTTGTGTGTTGAGCATGCTGATTTATGGAAATGAGTTGTGGACAACTTACAGCTGCCAAGAGTGATGTCTCAACACCTTCCACATGCACTGCATCAGGAAGACTTTGGGCCTCACATGGCAGGACAGGGTCCCAGCCCACATTCTCAGCATGTTTGCACTCCTGTCTCAGTGATGTCTCTGCTGGCTTGGTCATGCCCACAGAATGGAAGATGGCAAGATCTCCAAGGACATCCTGGCTTCAGGTACCAGGCCTGTTGGCAGACCAACTCTGTGTTACAAAGGAGGAAGAGGGGAGGACAGATATGAAGAAAGAGCTGTGAGTGGAGAGGCTTCCTTTTCCTATCCTGTGGACCACCTGGGAAACTCAACAAACCTGCTGCACCTGGAACTGGGAGAATACAGCTGAATGGGACACAGCTGTGAGCAGCTTGAGCAGTACCAGCCACCTGCCCATAAATAGCAAGTCTAGAGTGCAAGACTAGGGTGATGCCCACAGTTTCCAGCAACTCTTCATATTGTGAGACTTTTGTGGGTGAGCTAAGAGTTTGTTTGGACCCTGAGTGAGAACCCAGATCCGGGCTAAGAGGAAGGATATGTCAGAAGCAAAATGAATTGATACTGATGTATATATATATATCAGTAACTTTGTATTAATATAACCTTTTTATACGTAACTGCGTGTTTTGTTATATTTTTGTTTAAGTTGCTTGTTGTTGCTTCAGTTTTCTGTACACCGCTTAGAAATATTTTAAATATATTAAGCAGTACAGAAATTAATTCAGCTTCATCTTCATCACTGCATGATCGAGAGTCCCAGGGTAAAAAACATTTGCCAGTGAAAGATCATGATGAAAGCTGGAGGAAAGGAGGGAGGGAGGGAGGGATGCCAAGTAATTAGATCTCTGTGTTCTTTAGTCACCACTAACTATACTGCATCTATATGGGACCTCCTATTAAAATGACAGTGTTCATTAGTCACACTTATCCACTATGGTTTAGAATGTTGTATAATGATGCAGAAGCTATAACAAAAGCGAACGGCCTCATTTCTAAGGCCTTCCAGCTATTTTCGACTTAGCTACCAAGTTAATGGCTACAAAAATCCAGAACGAAAGCTCACAGGGATGGGATGAGCTATTCAAAAATTATATGCCACAATGAACGCTGCTCAAACACTTTGCAGGAGGGATGGAGAGGTGGCCTACAGCTTATTAAACAGAATTTCACCAAATCACAGCAATATGTCTGAACCTGGTCTATAGATATGTACCCATATCTATGTTATTAGCCAAAGGTGTACCACCCATATAGCTGGATGCAAGACCTTAGTTACAATGATGTCTGTGCTACTGTAGTATTATGTTCTCTGAATATACATTCTTCCTGTTTAAGCAAAATAAACCTTAAAGATTACAGTGCTCTTGTACAGCTCCCATTCACTTACATTGAGGTTATGCAGGATTATTTCTGGGTGGGTGGTCTCTCATTTCACAATGAAAGACAGTTCTGCTTTTTATTGTAGGTTGAAACACAGTAATCCTGAAGCATTGCAAATAATGTCACATGCAAAGCACAGAGTTCCTCTCAATATCAACAAATGGGAGAGTCAACAAAATGTTGCACTGTGGAGAGTTCTGGTTCCATGTTCCACCCAGGCAGCCATGCCCTCTTAAGAACATAAGAAGTGCCCACTGGATCAGGTCAGTTGCCCATCCAGTCCTAAATCTTCTCACAATGGCCCTCCCTATGGGAAGACCATAAGCAGGACATGAGCCCAACAGTCCTCTTCTCTCCTGAAATTTCTAGCAATTATTAGCCAATGGCATCCTGCCCTTGACTGTGGACATAGGATATTCCATTCTTCTAGGATATTCCATTTCATTTTATTTCCCTTCTGCCTCAGTTTTCCTCCTCCCTCCCCAAATGCCACTCCATCTTTTTGTGACATTTAATCTGAGTCCTCACTGGGTTATTTCTTCTTTTTCCTCCTCCTCTTCTTCTTCAGTGGCTTAGTTTGTTGGTGTTGCTTGTCAGTGCAAAGGTGGATTCAGGGCACCACAAACAGTTCCACCACACTGGGCACCAAGCCTAGAGGGCGCTGTGGGGTGTCACAACTATGATGTATTGAATTCAGCAGAACAGAAAGGGGAGGGGATTTTTATCTTACACAGGGCGCTACTGAAATTTGAAAGACCCAAGTCCACTCTTGGTCAGTGGTCCCATTTTGGCTAAAATCATGTCAGCACTCACCAGCTGAGTTCCTTGTCAGAGTGCTGTCAATTCTTTGAAGCACAAATTAATACATTAGGCCAACAGTGGTCAACCTTTCAGTCAAGGATGCTGCAAATCAGAGTGTCACTTGTGGCCACCACGTCCCAGAAATTTGGTGTTTTTACGTGTACTCTTTCAGCCCAATAAACATTATGCTTTCAACGCCAATGAGCATTATGTTCAGAAAAGGAGGAGAAGGGAGAGGATGTAGGAACTTAAGTGTTGGAAGGAAATCTTATTGAGGAACATAGCCTGAGCAGGAGAGAGAGAAGGAGTAACAAAATAATCTGCATCGTGAATCCTGTGTACGCAATGAAAACCTCACACAAGCTGCTTAATTACGCAGCTAAGAAATAGCCGCCTACATGTGACGTAACAGCCACAGGCTAAGACTCGAATAATTTACATATCACTGCAAGAACAAAATGCTTCCAAGCTCCTCTAAATATGGAAACAGTAATGCCTTTCCCTCCCCCACTTTTGCAGAGCCTTTCACTGCCACTTCCTATGCTAAAACCCTGCAGGGAATTACAGTGCTAGGCTTTCCTCATCTGACCTTCATCAAGAGTAGTGCGCGTACACACAGAGAGAGACACACACATGCACATGCGCATACACACTTTCCAGAGGAGTAAGCATGTTGGTTGTATTAATAAATAACAGCGAAGAGTCTTGTGGCACATTAAAGACTGACAAATATTTACTATGGCATATTTAAATCTGTTAATCCTTCAGGTGCTTTGTTGTTGTTAGAGGATTGGGCCTTAGTTCTTAAGGTGTTTTTTTCTTCTTCTTCAAAGGAAGAGAATGAGATTTCCCTTTGTAATTATCTCTGTTTAGACTGGAGGAGGAGGCAAATGACCTGTGGTCCTCCAGATGTTGCTGGACTAATTCCCGTCATCCCTGATCATAGATCATCCTGACTAAGGTTGTTGGGAGTTGAAGTTCAGGAACATCTGGGGGGGGCACCACATTCCCAACCCCTGGTTTAGACAAATGATAAAAATATAGGGAGCACCACAGTTGGGCAACAGGAGGCCAGCCATTCATTTTCACCTGGACAGTACAGGAAATAAAGAACTATGCATGGGGATGGAAGCAAATTTGTGCCCTGGATGCTCAGAAAACTGACAGTTCTCTTGTGCACTGAGCTCACCTCTGCTCTCACTTGACTCATCATTACCAGGACTTCTGCTCGCTAACCTGGCAGAGGCTTGAGTAAGAGCGCCTTACCAACTGACTCAGGTGAGGGTGATATGAGATGTGATGTGAAGCTTATGTGGTTGCTTTACAAATAAATAGTTAGTACATAGGGGAATTCGAAACCTAATAGGGACCAGAACATGTGGGAGTCTTAAACCCTCTGCTCCCACCTTGGTCCTGATCCAAATTGGGGCTCTGTGCATATTGTTTACAACAGGAGGCAAGGTGCCTGGGCAAAAACAGACACAGAAAAACCATCCATTAAAGAGCTAAAAGATGTTAGTGATATCACATATAGTTGGGTCCTAAAATAAAGTTAGGAAATAAAAATGAGATGTTAGGATCATGTTTGATCTAGTAAATGAAAAATAAAAATAAAATAAAGCCGGTAAAGCCAAAACAAATGAGAAAGCTGTGTTTATCTTTTGGTCGCTGCTGTTTCCTTGTAGCCTGCACCAGTTAACATACAGTACTGGCTGTGTTTTTGGATTAATTTATGTCTGTAATCACACATAATCCATGCTATAATGACCTCTAGATTAGATTATAGTAATGCAGTCTGTGTGGTACTGCCTTTGATGGCTGCTACAGTCTTCAAAGGCATCTCCCAGACAGAGCACATTACCGTAACCTAATCTAGAGGTTACCATAGCATGGTTTGTGTGTGGTTATATGCATCAGACCCCAGTAATTAAAAGTGGGGAGGCAGATGGAGCACAATGCACAGCTAGTTAAAGGTGGAAAATATGTGCTACCAGGTGGAAAACAAGAAGCAAAGCCAGTTCCAGGAAAAACATGTAGCAAAACTGATCCCTCAGGACACATGGAACCCCATCTAGATTTGACTTATTTTTACTTTTTATATATATCTGGAATCTCACCAATTTTCATCACCTCTCTCTTATGTGGCTTGATCTTCAATTTATTGGCCATGAACTATTCCATTACTGATTCCAGGCTGCAATTTGGGGATTCTGCTGCCTCGTTGGGATTTGAGAAAGATAATTGAGTGTCATCCATCAGCATACTGATGACTCTGAGCTCTGCACCCTCTGACAAACATTCCCAGCAAATTTATGAGAAGTTTGAAAGCAGAGGAGGTACCCAATGTCGCCTTCTGAAATCTGCCAGACAGGTAGGGATGTAAGCACTTTCCCCACTTCCTCAGTTTGTAACAATTGAAATTCAGCCAAGCAAAAAGTAACGAGACAGCACTGAAGACATGTCATGTATGGATATTATTTTAGGCCTTACAGAGAAAGATTTTCTCCTGGTGCCTAAAGATTATATAATAAAGGCATCAGCCTGCTGTTGAAATATTATGTTGGTGTTGAATGGCCAAGCTTTCTTTGTTGTGGGAATCAATATAGTGGGGGCAGGGAATCTTGTTACACGTTGAGATCCCCCCATCCCCATTTCATAAGAAAATTTAAATATATATATTAAAGTATGAAGCCTGAAATTTTATTAAAATGGGTAGTGAAACCAGGGACTGAGGCAAAGGACCAGATGGCACCCAGTTCCCATTCCACATACAGAAGCCAACCAGGCTGCCATCTGGATTTTAATCCAATACTGATGATTGGGTAGTTTAGGGAGTGCAGATAACATACTTAGTTCTACACTACTACAGAGGGAAATGGTCAGGGGTCTTTGGAGGAACAGCATAAAGGGTGTTCTTTCTAACCCACCCACCCCTGGCACCTCCCAACTGAGGCGGTTGCCTCAGTTTGCATCATGTTTAGGCCAGTCCGGAACAAAACTCCTCCCTTCCCTCACTCAAATACTGTGCCTTCTTAAACCCATGAACTGTATTCTGAACTGTATTAAATATGAGAAGCTGATCAACAAACAGCTCCACCATGAGGCGAGAATAAGCATACACCTGTCTGAGATGGAACTGAATCCTATCTGTGCATAGAGGCTACAGCATCAGTGGGGACTGGGTGAGGGAAGTACATTAGGAGAAGCAGTTCCCAGCTAGGAGTGGTAGCCAAGCTTTCGAGTCTCTGTGCTTCTTCTTATTCCTAGCGGTGGATACCCAAACCAGCACCCGCAGATAAAAATTGCTTGCAGCACCACTGCTGTTGGGAGCTGAGGAAAAGTGGACTGCTCTCGTCACATGATCCCCAGGGAGGGATTTTATCTGGACTGCAGACTCAGGAGATGGGCGTTTCAACACACTCAAACCCTATCACACTAAGAGACTGCTTGGAATGCTTGTGGAAATATATTGGCCCTTTATGGGATTATGTTAGCCCTACCACAATGTGCATGGCTCATTCAACCCAACTGAACTGTGAATCAGTGCTAAGGTTAAAGTTATATCTCTGTCCCTGTATCCATGCTTCTTATACATAAGGGCCATGAACTACCAGTTTTTCCTATGTTACAACGAAAGTGCATCATCCCATAACTTGACACCTCTGCAGTAAGCATGCACACATTTTCATCAGATCGCTAATGAATCAGTGGGGTGCACTCAGTTACCACAAACTGAATGGTGCCCATGTTCAGCTGTCTTCACTCCTCCCAAGTTCACACAAGAGGTGTTCACATGTTACATTCAATGAGTGTCCTATCTGTGTAGACAAATAATTGTGCTGTCTGTTTGTACAGTTATTTACCTGCAACCTTCAATGAGTTTCAGGGTACACCATAGTTGAGCCGTACAAAACAACACCTTGTGCGTGTGTAGAGGCAGCTTGTAGTGTGTGAACAAGTCTATAGCGGCTAAGGTCATTCTGACAACTATGTGATCAATGCAGGTTGTGCAATGCACACAGAGATGGATTCAGAAACCTTCAACTGGGACTAGGGTTTTTGAGGGCACACATTCCTGAACTTCCAGCCAGTAAAGGCTGGTCCACAAGGGCAAATGGGGCACTGCCGCACCGGCCTCAGTCTGCTCTCATCCAGCCCCCACCTGCCAACTTCCTCCTCTTTAGTCTCAGTGTTGCCTTTGTAGAACTCAGCAGTTATGATGTGGGCAAAACTAGAGTTAGTTGGCTTTGGCTGCCATTGGTCTACTGTTGGTCTCCCTACCTTCCTCCCTGCTAGCCCCAATGGGCATCAGGCACTACTGCTTCCACTTTGATGCTAAAGTGCTCATTTTGGAAGGGTGCAATACTCCTGTGCTGATATGCCTAATGGGTGCCCATTGGCTCACATAACTTCAGAGAACAGACCTTACAAAACCAGTACCTTCCTATTCTTCTGAAATTTAGGAATATTTATTTGGAGGTTCTGGCTTACTACAGTATAAGGTAGTTCCTAAACAAAGTGACCTGATCTACAGGAGATCTGTGTCTAAGGAATGTCCAGGTGCAGTTCTCAATGGCATTTCTGATTAAGAGAGGGGAGAGTGAAGGATCACTTCTAAAGCTCTCTGGGCCTTCTTCCAGAAGTTGAGCTCCTTCAAAATATATCCAGCTAGGGAGTGCTTGTAGTGCCTGTACCTTTTAATCTTTCCATCACTTGGCAAAGGACAAGGACTTAGTCTCTTTTCAAGTGAATGCTAATCTCATTTGTTTGCCACTAACAGTATTAAAAATGCAATCACTTAAATGGAAAATGTGAACGACAGCCCTTGAAATGGCTTCCATTTGGGATAATTGCCGCAGTAACTAACTTCGCACAGCTCTCATTACCAATAGCCATGTGACATTTTTAAGAAAACATTAACAGGTTTGTTCTGTTTACAGTGTTGTGTTGCACAGAATGAAGCTTCTGTCCTAACCATAAATTTTGAAGGTCACTTGGAACTGGCTTAAAATCAATACGTCTCTTAGGCACTTGTAACTTATTGGTTCTTTCGCAGTCACCAGCTAGGAGAGGCTGGACTTTGCTCCTGGGCTACTTGCTCAGTTTTGTGAGAAAGCAAACTATGCAAAAGCTTAGGACTGCTTCTTGGTGTGAAACCTCCAAACTTTTTTTTAAAAAAAATACTCACTCAGTGTTGTATGTTGGGCAGAGTGCTGGGCTTGGGCTAGTGAGATCTGGGTTCAGATGCTCTTTCAGCCATGAATTTTAACATACAGCTTACAGCAAGTCACTATTTTCCAGACCTTCAGGGCCAATCTACATCACAGTAAGAACTTCTGTTGCAAACTGCTCTCAGGAATAGTTGGCAACTCTGCAGCAGAAAAGGAGAAGGTGGTGTTCAGTCTTTCCCCATCAGCTGCTGTCCACCAAAAACTCACTCTCACACAGCTTCTATGGCTACCCCACCCCACCTGATCCCACGTATCAAACACAGGCCCAGAACTCTGTGGGGACAGAAGCAGTGCTGGTGGGGAGTTTTGGGGAAGAGTCACTGGAAGAGGAAAGTGTTTAAGAACTCCTTGCCCTGTTTAATGTTTGCATTATCAACTAAATATCTGGCATGTGGCCCCTTCAAGAGAAGCAGCCACAAGGAGGCCATCTCCTGGAGAGCTGATTAAAGGTGTGGCCTGGCTGGAGAAGATATTGTTACTTTCTGCTGGCACCAAGAATAAAGTTTTGTGCTATCATTAGCTCAGCTTGCAGTGAGTTTCTGCTTAAGCAGCAGAAGACAATACACTTGATCCTTTGCTTGCAACAAAATGTTTTCTTCTGTGGACACATTATATTGAACCAGGAGCCACCTGGCTATAGCTACATGCATTTGCAGTGTACCATATGGTCTGGCCCTCAACCTAACCTAAGGGTGGTCGTTCACACAAGAGGGTGGACAGACATCAGGCTTGATTCATTTTTTACTGTAACATTGAGATCCATGAACCAAAGCCAGATCAAAATCATGGCAATAGGGCAGGGGGACTCAAACTGTGGTCTGTGGATCACTGGTGGTTGATGAGCTTCACTCAGCTGGTCTGTGATGTGTCTGTAAAAGTACAATTTAAAATCACACGGCATCTAGCAGAGGGCTTTACAAATGCTACAACAGGCAGAAAAAATATATAAAGTGGTATGTAATTCAATGCATACTAACATAAAGAAACTCAACTGTTTTATGAGTAAGCTACATCGGACTGTGCTGGACTCTCTCCTATTCTTTTATTATTATTTCTTACTCATTTTAAAATATTCACACACCGCTTCTTAGGGTGGCTACCTTCCCCAGGCAGCTTCCATACAGCATTAAAGTACTATATCAGAAACTAACTACAAAACCATTACAAAATAGCAAATATATTACAAAACTCATAAAGATCATAGGAGCAGTCAAAACAAGGAACTTGATCAGACCAGCATAATAAAACCTACTAAACAAGCTAAAACCAGTTTAAAACCAGCTAAAACCAATTTAAAACTAGCTAAATGGAGCATCTTATTAAGTACAGTAACATGCATAAGCTGAGCATCAATAAATGTCGCAGGGCCAAATAAAAGCACTGTAATTATGCTCTCTAATGTCCTATGAAATTAATTGGTTAAATTACTGCAGTGTGGCAACAAGAGAGCCCTTGGGGGCAGGCATGAGTTTGTAGTCAAAAGGCTTGGTTTCATTTTGAAGGGCACAGCCTCACTTCAGGTCCTGAAGATGACTATAAAGGGAAATCATAGCTGTTCCCCTTCCTGAGTCTTACAGGATTTATTTGGCAAAAGAGCAATGCTGTAAATTTTTTGACGCTGCAGGAAGGTGAGCATCCATGGCAGAGTAAACCATTTCCTCG